TAATTTTTTAAAATTACAATGATAAATTCATCATTAAAAATTAGAGTAGAATTTTTTGACCAATGAGTTCAGTCCATAGGACTTACTCATAACTGTCTCTATTTTTTATGAGTTATACTAGGGATACCAAAAATTCTATTAGTGAAATTTTTAAGACCTCTAACATTTTTTATTTTTTTATTCATATGAGCAGCAATATATATAAAATAATTATTAAAAAAAATCTGTATGAAAGAGAGAGGAAACAAAATCTCGGAAATCAAGGGTAGATCTCATCCAATTATCTAATTTTCTAATGTAAAAGACTTTGTTACGAAGCAAAATATATCTCCATGTCATTATCTTTTATATTTCACTATATTTTATTTTATGGATCTCATTTTGGTTCACAATAATAACTTAAATTATTCATCTTATAAATTTCATAATAAAAAATAGCCTTCGTAAAATATCAGTTTCATCGAATATCGATAAATAGATAAAAAAAATTACATTTTATTTAATAAAAAGTGATTTGAGTTTATATAGTTGTTATTCATTTTAAAAAGTAAAATATAAATTATTCATGTGTTTAGTGATATTCGATAAACTTATTTTTTATATAAACAATTTTTACTATAAAATTTATAAAATAAATAATTTAAATTATCGTTATAAGTTCGGAATAAAACCCATAAAATAAAATATGATAAAATATAAAGTATACTAGAATGAAGAATAGTCATCCAAAATATAATATAACCAAGTAATTCTCTGACTGACTGGCTTTCTGCTATGTATGTGCATATATATATATATGTATATGCATGTGGCTTACCATTGAGTATTGATTCAGCCCCCTCCCTCCTTTGCTGTACTGCATGTGATCTTTAACACACACATTGTCTCTGTATGTATCAATTTACATTTCTATATAATTTAGTTTAAAAAACATTATGAATTATGAAAATATACCTCAAAAGTTACTCTAGAAGTGAGTGTATGGTATAAAATTTACAAAAATGCTGGAGGCCCCAAAAATTCTACCAAAAGTTTTACCAAATGTCTCACATAGGTGTGGGACCCACATGGGACCCACATTGTGTCGGTCCCACACCCATGTGAGATATTTGGTAAAACTTTTGGTAGAATATTTGGGGTCTCTAGCATTACTCTAAAATTTATGGGGAGGTTTCTTTTCAGTTCATATAATAGAATGGAGCATACTATTGGATCTGTGAAACTCACCAAATGTTTTGTTTCGATAATCCGAACTATTCAATATGTAGAGTTCGTCGAGTACTTTATATCTGCAAAAAATCACGTTGATCAGATATCAGTAGTCCCTTGATCAAAACACATTTTTGTCAATGGTAAATATGATTTGAAAAATAAATTGTTAACAAAAATGTGTACTGGTCAAAGGGCTACCGATATCTGATCAACACTATTTTTTACAAGCATAAAGTAATTGACGAGTTCTATACATTAACAGTTTGGATCATCGAAACGGGACTCATGATGGGTCACACAAGCCCAACAATAGTGGATTCGAGAGAAATCGTCTCCTAAATTTAAAGTTAATGAAATATGGGTCATTAATTCAATTTTTTGAATAATTTTTTTTAAATGTATAATAGTATTAATTTAGATTTTGCTAGATGGAATACTTTGTGATAGGTTCTTGAATATTGAATTTATTGATGTAATTCTACAGAGACTAGATGGGGATTGGGTGCTCTACCTGGGAGAACTCAAGGGACGGTTTGGTTTCAATAATTCAAATTATTTATTTTTATAAGGTTTTTTATTTATGTTATTATGATAAAAAAAAATTAAGCCAACGAAAATAATTATAACATTTTTATTATATTGTGTTTATCTTTAAAAAATAAATTGTCTATTTTAAAAACATATATTTAATTTATTTTTTAAAGACAAACACAATAAAATAAAAATAATACGATTATAAACTCGATTTAATTATTCCTATAAATAATATACACCAAGAGTCCTATTAGATAGATATTTTTGGATTTATCATGAACATAAGACTCATGGTGGGTTCCAATAGTTCAACCTATTAGATAGATATTTATTCTCTCATTAATTTATCTATGTAAGGTTCACTATCACATTGTGAAGTTTTTTTTTTTTTTTTTTGGTGTTAGATGTTAATACCATCAAATAGTATCACCACTATACATAATATTTACTCGATATTCTGTGTGGCCTCGTTGGAGTTGTGATTTTCACTACACCTAAAATGAACCTAGAGGTTTTTTTATTTTTATTTTTTTATCTGTCTTTTTTTGAACACGTAAATAATGTTTGTTTGGATGAGCGTGACTTGGAGTTGGATTAATAATACAACAAAATACATAATTCTCACATCTGGTTAAGAAAATTGGGTTTCGAACAAATAGTTTTCCCAATGGCATCCCTTATATGGGTAATTATGAACCTCAAGAAGGGGGAGATACAAAACTGAAGACTAATGAAAAGTTTTTCTAATTGACTAAATTACAAAATTAATAGGGTTTTATGAAATCTTCTTCGTAACATTAAATCAATCCAAAAATGAGATGTCAAACGGATTGATAATTTTGGAACTAATAGCCTTAAAAATATTAATCTCATTTAATTCAATTATTTCAAACAAACATGGCCATACTATTATTGTCAAGCATGAATAGGACAATATAATTCACTTGCTTGTAATTGCAATCAAGATCGAGGACGAACCTAGAGGAGGTAAGAAGCGAATTGCCTCTTATGATTTCTAAAATAAATAAATTTTTTTTTTATCATATTAGTATTAATTATTAATAATATTCTTGTTCCATTCTCATTGTGATATGGTATATAAAAAATCAGAACATTCTAAATGACCTTTTTTTTTAACGAATTCTAAAGGACTCTAGTGAAGGTATATTGTGGGTAACGGTTTATCCGATCCACACGACCCGTCCAAACCGACTTTACCCGCACAAATCTGACCCTATCCGCATACATAGATAGGACGGGTGCGGGTCTATTTTTTCATACAAAATCGGGTCCGGGTCAGATCTGACCCTACTCCTGAAACCGCATGAACTACCTGTAAATTATGTTTAAAATAAAAAAAATCTACTCTCACATCATTTGTTGAATTCATTTTGGGCTTCCTCCTTTTCTCTCTCTACCCTACCCAGCTCTTTCTCTCCCTTTCTCTCATTTGGCCCTTGTCTCTCTCTCTCTCTCTTTCTCCTCCCCGTCACCGTTACCACCACCATCTCTTGCCTCTTGCTCACCATCTCTTTCATCTCCTCCTGTCGCCATCTCTTTCATCTCCTCTACCGTTGTTGTTGTTTCTCTCAGATCAACCTCAGTCCCCTATTCCATCGCCGCTTCATCACCACCAGCCATGTCATTGGTTGGTTGCCATTGTCCCATCCTCTTCTCCCCTGTCGCCGTCGCCCACCAGATCTGGAGATGCTAGATCTGGAAGATCTATAGCACAAAAAAAAAAAGAAGGTTTTATTTAACGAAGGTACCTAGATCTGGTTTCTTTATTTACTTTGTGTTTTGCTTTGCTTTGTTGGTTTCTTCATTTATTTTTGTTGTGTTGTGGGTTTGCTTTGCAGACTTATGTTTTCATTGTTGTAAACTTGTAACTGGTATCATACCAGTGGTATGTGATAAAGCTAAGCTAACTGTTTTCATTGCTTTGTTTTTTTATGGCTTTAGAAAATGGAGAAGGCCCCAATGTAAAATCCCAAAAATATATATATATATATATTTTAAAAAATTTAATTAATTCACAAACCGCTTGCAACCGTCTGCACAACCGCATGACCGACCCATTTAATCCGTAACCCACACTGTGGGCAGACGCGGTTCTATTTTTTCCCAATCCGCACCCTATCGGGCGAGTCCAACCCGTCATCCCAACCGTACAAAACCGATCTGTGACCATCCTTAATTGTAGGTATTGATTTCTAACTTCACAATCAAATAGGGAACTTTGCTCAAAAGCATGCGACAAAATAAATTAAACCAAGCACCTGTCAACAAAAAGATAAGAATACTATTGTGGTTCATCCATCGGAGGGCACTTCGATGATCAAGTTAGTCAATTTTATCTCTCAAAGATATCTAACAAGTACTCAATGCACAAGTCAAAGCATACCTTAGATCCACGGGGATGCCTTACTTTTATAGCCAATAGTGCCCTCATCCTTTAGAAGTCTCACTTCATAAGACTCAAATACAATGCTTATCTTGGACTCTTAGTTGGATATAGATGAACTGCTCAACAATTTCATCCTTATCCAAACTAAGCGCATCATTTATCTAGGACTCTTGTCCTCTGTCCAAATATCATGAATTTCGGTATTACCGCATGATATCGCTACAATACTACAATCATCTGGACGATCTGGCTCAACCTCGGCCACGTGATACGACCTCAGAAATATGTCTCCACAATTGTCCCTAGGTTCTATTATCTTGACAACCTGAGGAGATAGAACCTATATCGTCTGATCTTCTAACATGTTAGCTAAATAACATGCTAGAGATATTCCTCCGACCGAAATCATGACTCGTCAGTGTCAAAAAACAAGGACTCAAATGTCCACTCGTCAAAAATTAAGAACTAAAATGTTCTTCCTCAACCAAGACCAATATCTCAACCGAGATCACATTACTAATTGAGATCATCACTCACTAGTTCAAGAATATCAACTGCACATGAGTTGTTATGCACAATTATCCCAACTGTTTCATCCACGTGTCATCGCCCAAGTAGTCCGTACTCATCACGTGTTAGGGGCATTGTATCAATTTTACCTTAGGCCGCCTAACGTCAACATTAGCACGTCTCCCTAGGCAATTAATTTAAGGTTTTGTCACCCTTTCACCATTTCAGCAAAACTCTTCCCTCACTGTGTGTCTCTTCACTTTTGCAATCATAACTCTCTCTCTCTCTTCTACCAGAGCCTCTCTCTCTAGAATTCTCTCAAACCGCCATTGACAACCTTTGAAACTTTCTGCAATTGCTCCTGTTCACCACCTCCGACAAGCACTCAACCAATTCGTTCCAATTAAGAGCATTATCTGACCCTGGCAAACACAATTTTGCCATTCATTCTTCTGCTCGTAATCTATAAGTTTCTCAGTCCTTTCATTTTAGTTTTGATCTTTTAATGTTCTTTTTTACTCTCGAGCATGCCTTTGTTTCTTTTTCTGTTTCCAGATTTTTCTATCCAATTCTTGCCCATTTCTGTTGTTCTTGCCTAGACATAGATTTGGGATTGGGATTTGTTAGAACAATATACATTTTAAGGAAATCAAAACAGATTGTATCCCAAAATCTCCATTAACTTTCCAGAATCCTTAACTCAGTGCCCCTCAAGGTAACATCGAGGTTCATATATCGCCACAAAACACTTCTACATTGAAAATCGTATCAAACCCACTCAACCGAGGTCATGGGTATGTTCAAATGAAGGGTAGACTCCCTTGGCAAACTAGAGTATTTTCGCCAGGAATTTTACGTTCCTGCCGACATCTAGATTAGATTAGTCGGTGAGAGTGACTCGATTATACCCGAGGAAAACTACATGCCTTTCCAGTGGTATCAATCACCGAGGGTGGGATCAGATTCCCTCTCAACATCCTCTTTAGAGAAGTGATGCACTTCTACAAACTCAACCCTATGCAAATAGCCATAAACACTTTTAGAGTTATCAACGACATAGTCGAGTTATGTCATCTTCATAATGCTAGGATCACCCTTCCCGACATTCAATACTGCTATGCCATGTGTTGCCTTAAATCCACTAACGGCTACAAGTACTATCTTAAACCCCGATTTACCGTTTACAAGTTGATAGCCAATCTTTCAAACTCCAACAAGGATGCTGGAGAAGACTGCCTCATCATCTCGGGTAACCAGGAGTTTACACCAGATGATGAACTTCGCCTCTTTCCCATCCCTTGCACCGAGGAGTCTTTAGAGAAGATGAGGATAAGAACTTAGTCATCCCAAACCACACACTTTTAACATTGCTTCCAATACTTAGTCCAATTATGATGTTTTCTCATTTTTTATTCTTTTTGCAGTGTTTCCTTAACTAAGAAAATCCTTTTGCAAGTCGTACGCCCAAATTCAAGACCTTACCTGACTTCTGGACTTGCCGATTAAAGACCATAAGGCCCCCATTTTGCTCAACTATATATCGACGTACCGGTCTCTATTGCTATCGTCCTATCCAAGAGCAAAACTCTACCGTCTGCAATAGCTCCACTAGTAACATCTTCTCCATGCATTGATCAGGACGTCACTTCTGACCCAGCAAACCAGCTATCAACCTCGGCTTTATCTCTGCCCATTTTGCCAGCTCAATGCTAGCGTCGTCACCGACCTACCAACCGAGGAGTCTTTAGAGAAGATGAGGATAAGAACTTAGTCATCCCAAGCCACACACTTTTAACATTGCTTCCAATACTTAGTCCAATTATGATGTTTTCTCATTTTTTATTCTTTTTGCAGTGTTTCCTTAACTAAGAAAATCCTTTTGCAAGTCGTACGCCCAAATTCAAGACCTTACCAGACTTCTGGACTTGCCGATTAAAGACCATAAGGCCCCCATTCTGCTCAACTATATATCGACGTACCGGTCTCTATTGCTATCGTCCTATCCAAGAGCAAAACTCTACCGTCTGCAATAACTCCACTAGTAACATCTTCTCCATGCATTGATCAGGACTTCACTTCTGACCCAGCAAACCAGCTATCAACCTCGGCTCTATCTCTGCCCATTTTGCCAGCTCAATGCTAGCGTCGTCACCGACCTACCAACACTCCGGCTGGAAGGATGCGTAGCAAAAAGCGCTGAGGTATCGACACTCTGACTTACAATCCTGTCAACTCACCTCTCACTCTCTTTAATTCAAACTTGGCACCGGAGTGACCATCACCGCCACCTTAGAGGAGATGGGTCATCAACCAGCGGTCGACGAGGACCTTTTTGTCGGATTACCTGACATCGTCACTACAAGTCTACCCCTTTTCCTCAATTTGTTCAAAAAACCAAAGAGGGTGAAAAAATCCAAGGCAAAGGCCAAAGTCACAAATTCTTTCTGACGAGGAGACGAAACCTGAAGACTCTATGCCGATCTCTAAGTTAGCCGAGGCTAGCTGGGACTGATTTTGTTGTCCCCTCCTGCAAAGAAGTCGAGGTATGTCGGTCCTAGGGGTGAAAGAGATGTCCTTCCTGAGAATGCTTGGCTCCCCGAGATCTGAGTGGGCGATCGACTTCTGAAAATCAGTGACAGCGCCATCAAAGACATCGAAATTGGAGTCGTACTGACCACGGGCCTTCTTTTGCTAGCCGACATGGAGCAGATCAGCTAGTACAATCAGTATGAGAATTTTGCATTGATAATGAAACACTTTGTTATGGTAATATTCTTTTATTTATCCTTTTCAAATTTTTTCTTTCATACTTAACAAAATATTGCTAATTTATTTATTTCCTTGCAGGCCATCAAACATGCCCACTCCTACGCAGTCAAGGTCGAGTTGATGAAAAAAGACTTGACCAAGACGCAAGAGGCTGCAAGCTTCCTCTCTCAACTCAACAAGGTCAAGGCCAGAATCAAAAATCTGATGGATAAGGTTAGCGCATCGAAGGTCACTGAAAACAAGGCTGAGGCCGTTGCCAAAGCCACTAGGGCTGTTAAAGAAAGGGCTATCGAAGTTGAAATTACACTTAAGGAGACCCTCAAATCCAAAGAGGCTGAGATCAAGGCCGCCAATGAAAAGGCCTATGTAGAAGGGCAAACCAATGTATGTGATCAATACAAGAAGCAAGTCAACCTGGCTTGTAACAAAGGTTATTACCTTGGCCGGGTTGCTATGATGAAAAAACTCATCGTCCCCAAGGACTCCTCCCTTCGTGACATTGGCCAACTTGACGTGCCAGTTCCCTCATCTCATGTCAAATTTGAGGAGGATGAAAAGGAGGAAAAGAATGAAGAAGAGGTTATTACTGCTGTTGTTGCTGGGGAAAAGTCCCCAACTCTAAATGATCAAGTCTTGGACCTGACTAAAGATGATGGGGATGAGATCTCCAAAAGCACCTTCCCAAAGAAGGCCGACACCTCTGAGGCCGAGATCGTTACTGCTGAAAAGAGACTTGATGAGACTCTCAAGGAGATCGATGGCGAAATAGTAGTCGACGCCAAGGTTGGGAAGGCTGTGGTACCAACCAAGAACACTGCTCCGGAGTCTAGCATTTAGGATTTTTCTTTTATTTCAGTTGTATTTTTCCTTTTACTTTTCTTTTCATTGTTAGGCTGAGTGCCTTTTGATGTACTAGAACGGCTTCTTTTATGAATGCAAGTTTGTTTGTTTGTTTTTTTTTTTGACTAAGTGTTGGATGCTTGTTTTTTCATGCTGCTTTCATATATCTTGTACAATCTTACTATCCTTTAATGAATTCTTCTAAGTATGACATCTTAATAATAAATCATCTCAGGTTAATACATCTCGGATAGAACTACTATCAATCATCTTGGATAACTTCAACTTGTAAAATTTTTCTAAAACTTTTCACAAGTGTCACATTCACTTGACTCATTTATGCTCTCTGCCCCCCTAATGTGAATCGAAGTATGACTTAGGTTCACATTAAGGATGCATCGTCTGAATCTTTCCCAAGTCTGACTTAGACATCCATGACCGAGGTCATCGTGTTTAGCTCGCCTAAACAAAACACTTAAGGCTTAACCTTAGTACACCGAGAGTACTACACACCTCGACTTTTCATACAAACTAGCCAAATCATGGCCAGTTTCTCATTGAAACATCTCTTTAACTTAGTTCAACTCTGCCATCATGGCAAGTCTAAGTTAATCGTCTTGTTCATACTAGGAATGTTGGCTTAAGACTTTTTTGTCTTATCTAATAGTTATGAATTTCGACAACATTTTGTAAAGAACAAAATTGGACTAGTATTTTATTAATACTTCAGCTAAAAGTTGTCTAGATTACATAGAAAAACTTGAAAAATTAATGATAAAAGAATTTCAGATTGCTGGTATTCTATGGTTATGGAAATTCTTGCTATCACTGTCTTCTAGTCGGTATATGCCATTGCCAGTTGCCGAGTTGATTCTGTACGATCTTTTCTAGTTTGGGCCAAGCTTAACCCCCTGGGATCTCTTTTGTTGTCGACAACCTTCTTTAGGATGAGGTCCCCAATTTGGAACTCCATGGGGTTCACCTTCTTGTTGTATGTCTTGGCAAGTTTTTGCTAGTATGCCCTAAGCTGAATTATTGCTCTTTCTCCCCTTTCTTCAATCAAGTCCTGATCTCGAACAAGGAATTCCTCATTCATCCTATTCTCCACTCCCTGAGTTCTGACACTAGGAATGCAGATCTCAAGGGGTATAATGGCATCGATGCCATAAGTCATGTCAAAGAGCAATTCACCAGTAGATCTCCTCAGCGTAGCATTAAGCAGTTCCTCTACCCACTTGCCCTTGGCAACTTCCAATCTCTTCTTTATTCTATCCAAGATGGTTTTATCAAAGGCCTTGGCTTGACTTTTGCTTCGAGGGAAGCTGGGAGTTAAGTAGTAGTTCTTGATCAAATTGTTGTCCAACTAGGTGCCGTTGTCTGCCATGATGGCTCTTGGGATATCAAATCTAGTAATGATGTTCTTCTAGATGAAATTCCTCATATCCATATTTCGAATTTTGGCTAAGGTTCAGCCTCCACCCATTTCATGAAGTAGTTCGTGGTTACTAGTAAGAATTTTCTCTGTCCAGTTACTTTGGGAAATTGCTCAATCAAATCCATGTCCCACTAGGCAAATGGCCAAGGACTAGATACCAGGTTTAGGTCTCCAACTAGCTGATATATCAAGGGTGCAAATCGTTGACACTTATCACATTTCTTGATATAGGTCTCAGCATCCTTTTACATGTAGGACCACCAGTATCCTTGTGATATGGCTCTATAGGCAAGAGATCTACTCTCTGCATAGCTTCCACAAACTCCTTCGTGAATCTCGTACAAGAAGTCTTCTACTTAGGAAGGATGCACACATCGCAATAAAGGTCCAGCGGAGGACCTTTTATACAGATGGCCTTCTGCCGACAAGCAGAATCTGGCCAACTTGAGTCTGATCTTGTGTGCCTCATTTTTGTCTTCTGGCAACTGGCCATCCCTGATAAACTTGACTAGGGCATCCATCCAGCTTGGGTCCAATTCTATGCACATTGCCTCATATTCTGTTATCAAGGGTTCGACGCTTAGGCCTGATAGATAGTTCACCATTGTCGTTCTTGGCGTGTCTGAGTTTATGGCACTGGCAAGATTAGCTAGGGCATCTGCATGGCTGTTGTCTTCTCAGCAGACCTGCTGTAGCCGACAACTCTGGAACTATGATGACCCCAAAATGTAAATCGTGATTTCAATTAATTAGTTATATGTTAAATTTTAATTTAGAAATGAGCTATGTGATTAATTTGTACGTATTTGTTTGATTCGAAAATAGCTATTGAGATTCTTGTTTAGAATTTAAAATATAGTCTAAATGATGTTAGAAACCGAAATTGATCACTTTATTGTGATCAGCGTAAATTTTAGAGTCTATTATGAAATTGAATTAAAAATTGATTCAGATCAAATTAAATAGATTAAATTTAATTAAATTAAGCATGTGTGAATTAGTAATTTATACAAGATTAAATTAAATAGTTGGGACAGGCAATTAGAGCCTAATTCATATTAGTGTGATTAAATTTAGTTTAATTTACATTAGATTATGATGTATGTGATGACAATTACGTTAATTAAGTAGATTTCACTTATTAATCTAAACTTTGGATTAATTAAGACCTATAGGAATTATTAGTGACTAATGAACCCATTAGCTCAATTCAATAAAAGATGAGTCTTGAGGGAAAGTGAATAGTCGGTTTTGTTGGAGAGTTATACAACTTCAAAAAGAGTTCTAGAGAGAGAGGGAGAGAGAGAGAGAGAGAGAGAGAGAAAGGAAGAAAAAAAGAGCTAGAAGAAGAAAAGCTTTGATCTCCGTAAATTCATCAACTCAAGGTAGGAATTCGCTTATGATTTCATGAATTTGACTTGTTATACTCATGAACCATGGAATCTAAGTTTAATTAAGAAGAATTCAAGCTTAATTGGTGGTATTATGGAGTAATTTGAAGTAGCATATATGTATGAACAAGATAAGGAAGAAAGTGTAAGAATTAGTTCAAGAACATGACATGCATGGCATATTTCATGGAAATTT